CATAAAGGCAGCAGAGACTCACAGTGTCTTATAATGAGAGGCTGCTTTCTCTCACACATTATGTTCACTTATTATCAGCGTGTGTGTGTGTGCATGCGTCCCCCCCACCCCCCACCCTCACTGGGATTGGCTGTTGTAGAAGTTAAAAGTTATACTTTGACCTTTAACCTCTCTGCTCTGTGTTTCCTCTTTCAGACCAGAAAATCATCACAGCTGAGGTTGGACAGGAGAAATTCACTCTGCCATGTCGAGCTCCAAACAACAAAACCATCAGAGCCGTAAAGTGGAGCAGAGCTGACCTGGGAGATCAATATATCCTTTTGTACCGGAATAAGCATTTTGTTCCAGATGACCAGCATCCATCTTTTAAGAACCGGGTGGATCTGCAGGACAGACAGATGAAGGATGGAGACGTGTCTTTGATTCTGAAGAATGTGACGATTAATGACACTGGAACATACGAGTGTGTTGTTCTCCAGACAGGTTTGGAGCTCATCAACAGCACCAACCTGATTGTTGTTCCTCCAGGTGAGTCAGTAGAGTTAAGTGTGTGTGTGATCAGAGTGCAGTAGATCAGTGTTTTTCTACCTTTTTTGAGTCGCAGCTCATTTTATAGATTAAAAATATCCTGTGGTACACCACCAACCAAACTTGCTCCAAAATGACACGTTGTAGTCTAATACAGTACATATAATGTAGGGAAGTTAGTCTCTCAGCTTGTTTATACTCACTCAGTGTGAAACCTGGGCCTGTCTTCATGAACACAAAGATGATATTCTGGCAGGAATTGAAGAGTACAGAAGAGTGTTTGAACTACAAACACCACCAAGTGTGGTTCAATTTCTTACTCTTAAAACCCCCAAATTACTATCCAAAATATACAGAATGCTTTCTAAAACAGATGAATCAATATCACTTCCTATTGCAAAATGGGAAGTGGATTTATCAGTTAACTTAGACCAAAACTGGTTTCAGATTTGCTTAAAAACATTTCATCTAATCAGAAATCCCAGTCTTCAATTAATTCAATACAAAATACTACACAGAGTGCACTATACAGGTCATCGGATGTTCAAGATGGGCTTTACGTCTACCAACAACTGCTCACACTGCCAAACCAATTCACCGGACAATTATATCCACGCTCTT